TTTTGTCAATTTTCTCAAAAATATTTGAGAGTCTTTTCCATACGCGAATGGAACTTTTCTCAGGAAAATGAAGCGTTTTCAGACTCACAACACGGTTTTAGATATTCAAAATCTACGGAAACTGCAATTATTTTTTTCTTAAAGATGTTCCTTCATCAATGGACCAAACTGAAGCACCCATTGGAATACTTTTAGATCATTCGAAAGCTTTGACGTTATTGATCATAACATCTTGCTATCAAAATTACCTTCTTATGGAATTCGTGGTATCGCCCTAGATTGGATACTTTTGTAGCTTAAACATAGATCTCAAAGAGTAGAAATACCGTACTGGCACGAAAGGATATTATTTACTTATATTTCCAATTCTCTACCAATTGAATATGGGATCCCCCAAGGTTCGACTTTAGGTTCTATCCTCTTTCTGTTATACGTAAACGATATGCCCTCGTCTATTAAAAACGGGGAACAGTTTTGTTTGCTATGCTCGAACACGAATGATCTTTGAGGAAAAAGAAACAATAAATGGTACAATTTTGAGAAGTTTCAAATTAGTTTTGTAACAACAAATTAATAATTAATAATTCAATGCATTTCAAATCAGTAAAAATACCGCATTGGCACGAAAAGACAGTATTTCACATATATTTGCGATTGAATATGGGGTCCCGCTAGGTTGAGTTGTTAACTTATTTTACGTGGCGAGACTCGAGCCATCAGGCCCGCTCTTCCGTCTGACCACACGAATTACGCTACGTTTCTTTCGCCAATTAGGGGAGGAGGTATTTATTGGTATTTCATTTGGGCTTGAGGATCTTTTACATGCAGTAAATCTACAAACGTGGGACAAACAGCTTTACTTTCCCTCCGAAGGAACGCGTACGATTTTTTCGCCCTAAAAATCCACAGCTCCGATCGGGTTAGAACCTGCGATCTCGGGTATAACAGACCGATGCGCCTACCGTTACGCCATTGTCGCCATCAAAGCTCGATCTTAGATCCTATTGTCTTTCTGTTATACGTAAATGATATGCCGTCGCCCATTAAAAAAGGAAGAACGGCTGTTTGCCGATGATGAGAATGTTCTTAGCGAAAAAGAAATAATAAAGTGTGATTTCAGTAGTTTCAAATTGGTGTTGAAATAACGAATTAATACATAACCAAAGAAAAATAGTTTCAAAGCATTTTACCATTTCAAATAAGCTCCATTGAAAATGAACAATATGCAATTAGTTGATGTTAAGGAAACAAAATTTCTAGGTCTCTCAATTCAGTCCAACCTCAAATGGAATATACATATAACAAAATTAAACACTAAATCAAGTTCATTATGTTTCGCATTCAGAATTCTATCAAATTCTGTCAGCCTTCATGCGGCTCGTTGCGTGTATTTTGCAAATGTACATTCCCGCCTGAGGTATGGTATAAAATTCTGGGGAAACTCATCATGTAGTACTCAGACCTTTAGATTGCAAAAGAAAATTATTCAAATAATGAAAAAATGCCATCAGCGTTACCCTAGCAAGCCTCTCTTCATTGTGTTTGATATCTTACCACTGCCTTGCATTTTTTTTACGAATATGTAATGTTTGTCCAAACTGAGTAAACAGATGGAACATATTTTCATACAATTCTAATATTTATAATTACATCACACGTCGGAGTAATCACGTTCATCAAGTGTCAGAATCAACAGCTCACTACCATAAATCCACATATATGTAGGGTACTTTACAACGCATTGCCACATGACATTAAACAATTCAAGTCGTTACACAAATTTAAGTTAAAAGTGAAATCTTTTCTGCTGTATAACTGATTCTATACAACTAGAGGCTATACTGATCACAAAAAAGAAAAATGTTTATTTTAACAAAACAGTGATATATAATGAATTTGTTTACATTTATGTTGTATATTTAAAAAAAAAAGACTTAATATGCTTTTAAGAAATAATGTACTTCAGCTCCCGGTCAATGACTCCCATCTCGGTCAGGTTTTTGTCCAGTTTCCCTGATACATTGAGCAAATGCTGAGATGTCCCCTTGTTTTGCTTCTGGACGTAAATGTAGCTTTACTTCTAGGCTGTCCGGGTGACGCCGCGTCGTTGGCAGATAGGCCGACGTTTCGCCTGTCATGTCGCAGGCTTCTTCAGGAACGTCTCTCAACTGCCAGGACAAACCTTCCCTTCGACACGGGTCGCCATGCACAGCAAACACACGGGGGAGGGGTAGAAGAAAAGAAACAGGATGTTATAAAAGAACAAGAATGAACGATGGGGAAGATGAAGATGACTGGTGAAAGAAAAGAATACTTGGGAGCCGACCCACTTCGACAGGTCATAGTTTCGAAACATTCAACAAGACCTTATTTAAAAAACTTGTTAAGAACACATTTCATTAAGAAAGAAAACTTGTATCTTCATAATTATATTGTATGAAAACGTCGAAAATATTTTTGAATTTGTGCATCTTTAATATTTTAGTTGTAGGAAGATTCCAAAAATTATTTTGATTTTTTTCAATTTTCGAAAAATCAAATGTATTCAAGCAACATGAGGCCTGCGCCGTTCTATTAACCGTCCTTCACACTATACAACAAAATTTGATAAAAATCGACGGCGCCAGTGCTTGGAAAGTGGACTTCGTGTAAAGTACTCCCCAAAATTGAAATATCCGTTTCAAATTCAAGGAAGTGCGAATCGGCTGAACTGTTTGTTCGCTAGCCCTGTTCAAAGACATGTTGCCACCAATCGACTTTTCGTTATCAACGACCCACAAATTCTGGCTACACTACGTGGTAAGAGGATTCCCCCCCCCCTAATTTTACCATCAAATTTCTCCACTTTTTCATTACCGCGGTCCTAGTTTTCCTGCTGAAAATTCGTAGTTTTTTCGTGCATTACATAACTCTCTTCTTAAGCGCAAGAAAGTAAAAAAGCGAGGAAAAATATGTAAGAATTTAAAAACAAATTATTTTATATGGAGCTTCAACTTGGAATGAAATGCCAAATCTTGGTGTGGGTTGATGTGATGGACTTGCTCCCAAGATCTACCGGAAAATTAAAAAAATACAGCTTGCAAGGGCAATCATTTTACCTCCATACGTCTTCTAGTGAAAGTAGGTAACATGAGACATGATGCACACACACACACATGCTCCCACAGATCCTTCAAAATTGAAATTCCACAACCTGCTTGCATTTCTGCGTACAATTTGTAAATGGAAGGGATGGATTGGCAAAATGATGTGTTACTGAACAGTCATCAGAAAGAAAAAGTGGTTGGCAACTTTTGGTGTTTCCCTTGAATGCATCTATGAATAATGCATTTCAATAATAAAGAGTCTCTGATCTGGAAAAAGAATTAACCATTTAGATTACTTAGTTTATCTGGATAATAGTTCAGACAAACTTAGGACAAAGCTCAGAACAGAAATAGGTACATCGCTACAGGTGGTAAAAATTACGTGAAAGTGAGACTAATGGCCATGATCATGTAATTATCAAAAGTAAACACAAGTCAGATGTGACGAATGCCAAGAAGAAATGTTAACAGTGTATGTCAGCTGTGTATCCCACAGTCCCCTCACAGAGGTAAACCTCCAAAATACTATAATTAGTTCCTTAGAATCACAAGCAATGTCAAGGTGGGGGAAGGATAGGGGCCTGGGTGGCTCCAACCCTCACCCACTCCAGCTGCTGCAAGCTTGTTACTTGTATAACAGTTTAATAAATTAACAAGTTCAGTTACCATGCCAAATGCCTTTGAGAAATTTAATTCTTAAGCACATGTAAACCCGAATACTACGTTACTTTGTTTCTATTTGTGTATGCATAATGTTTCCCAAATGTTCAAAGCTTTAAAAAAATAGTTCATTTGTTTACCACAATTAAATAATTTTTGATTTAAAGCTTAAATACATTTCTTAATTATTTAGTTCAACAAAATAAACACTGCCTGCCTGCCTGCCTGCCAGATAGGGCAGTAGAGCCGGAGCGGTCTCGGGCCAGACCTCAGGTATGGATGTATTTGTGCATGTCTGTATGTGTGTGCCATCCTCTCATCCCTCACCATCAACATCATCTCATCGCCAGTACTCCCAGGGCTTACAATTTTGGGTGGATAAAAGTAAGAAATACGTGAAAATGCTGATCCCCTCCCAAAAGGCACTTGTATCTGCTGAAGTAAGATGCATGCATGGTCGGAGTTGGCCTATAAGCGGACAAACACCACTACACACATTGTTCTTGAAAATGTTTTTCTTATTCTGAACAGCTGATACGTAATGAGTTGTCACATTAGTGAAAATAGAACAAATTCATATAAACCAGGCCAAAACAAATAGGAGAACTACATCAGCAGGAAATTACGAAAAAGGTTGGTAATTTACAGATTAAAAACGTGTTCTTAAAAAAGAAAAAATAAACACACTTATGCTCCAAACTTCCAAAACATGCAAAAAGTGTTTCACTTTTGATATATATAATACTATAAATACAAACTTCATATGAGCATATTTTGTATATCTAACGTTCACAAATACACTGGAGTGAAAGTTAAATTTTAGCCTTTTGCAAATAGGCAAAAGAAAAGGTCACAGAAAACTTTACACATTAAGTTCTTCCAAAATCAACAAATTCAGTGACCAATGGCTATTAAAAGTGTTACTATACTTCAGCAAATAACATGGTGCAAATTTATATTAAGTATTTTGTGATTAATTTTAAAAATCCAGTCTTCACAAATTAACAAGTTTTATTACTTCTTTCATTGACCACAGACACATGGGATTCATCTTAAGTAATGGTGGGTCTACTTTTAGTTGTCCTTGTGAAGTCAACATTCCTGACAGGCTAACGTGAACTTGATATTATACTCTCAAATTCTAATTTCAATTATGAATAAAAAGCATCATTCCTTGAACCCTTGTGTTATGGAACTCATTAAAAAAAATGCTGGTCACTGGTTATGGTTTCGGGACAATAATTCAGTTGAAAATGTACTTTACTCTTCATATCTTTATTGATACTTTACACCACACATCTTTTACATTTTCCTTTTCTGTTCATTTCCTGTAATTTTTTAACTAAATTATTTTTTCTTCAAAATCTTAGAAGCATTCCAAAGCACTTGATTCCTGGTGTTGTTCCTGAAAAACACACACTGCAAGGTGGATGAAAGGAAACTGGTATAGGTTTCTAATAAAACAAAATGGAATGAAATAAAATTACAAGGAAAAAAACAGGAATTGGAGATGAAGCAGAGGAAAAAAATATCACCAAAAATTGCATGGAACAATTACTACCACCTATTAACATGCACATTTCATTGTGCATTAAGAAAAATGCTTCTTTCGCTACATTCTTTAAGCCAAGCAGAACCGTTTAGGGTAATAAAATTCTGAAGTGTGTGGACTTTGGTACCAGAAAAAACAAATAAGAAATGAGAAATAATTAACAATAATGACTTCATACACGCTAAACTGAAAAATCACTGTCCTATACAATTGTCATGAGTTTACTATTATATGTAACAAAATACTATGCCAATGAAATACACCATTTTAATACAAAATATCAAACTGCAATATTTACAAAATTGTTCCATAGTACTATAAATGCTTCAAGTATGTATAGTCTCTAATTTACACTACTTTCTTAGAAAATGTAAGATACCTAAACTCTGGTTTAGCTGCCAGTGTATGCTGGATTTGGCTTTGGTGAATCTTAATATTAAATGTAGAATTTCAAAGATTGACTCAAATTTTATAAAACTTTATATTAGTACCTAAATACTGGCAAATACCTTATACAGTTTGATTGTTTATTACAAATTCACTGCAAAAACTTAAGATGTACAAATATCATTCCACCTAAAAGCTGCCTTACTGTAAACCTTGAGGTGGCAGTAAGAATTTTTTTCATTAAAGATTTTATTGTCTTAAACAAAATATTCCACTTCTTTCATGTTCCAATATTAACCATATCAGAACGTAATTTTAACTCCTTACAATTCTAAAAAAAAAAAAAAGTTCACAAACCTGCCCAAAATACATTCTGTAATTCCTCATTCGAGAATGGTCATAAGACATGTTTTTTATAAATAAAGCATTGAAAAAATTAACAATTTAAATAACTAGACACTCATCAGGTGCATGGTTGTCTACTGCTACAGCATGCATGTTAAAATCTCTCTTCATGCTAAGTATACACAACTATACATCCATTGTTTAGGTAAAACTAACAGAAATATCACTTTAATTCAGAGGAAGAGGATCATAAAATTTCACAGGAATGATTGATCATGTTAACACATTTTTCAAAATTTAAAGAAACTTCAGAAATTTGTATTGTCTAGTATAAGAATAACTAAGACTACAAATATTTTCGAAATCAAACATTCCTCGAAAATCTGCTCCTCAGCTAAGGTTTCACAGAAATAAAATCAAAATTAGCAACATATAAATATTAAAGACAGTAAAAGAGTAAGTAAAGTATGATTGAGCACAATGTATTTTTCTGTCTGGTATAAGTACAGTATTAGAGCAATAAACCACCCAATATAGTAAAAGCATTATTTCTGTTTACAAGTGATTACAATACCTCCATGCTGCATTGTGCTTAACATAAAATGAATAGCCAGACTAGTGCACTTTGTCATAATTTTTGGGTACAGTTATATTTTTATTTATATATTATGTTATGAACGTACTCTTCACTCTTCCAGAATCTTCCATTGTATAGTACATAACATACATACAATAGCAAACCCATGACAAATGTCTGCAGAAGTTTTTGAGATTTTAAAACAGTACGCAACCTTCCAAAGAATTACAGTTTTTTATGCGCACTTAATATTCAAGTACGAACTACAAGATTAACCATCTACACTAACAGCCTCCAGAAAAGTCAATCTATTCAAATGTACAGGAACACAATTTTGAAGTCAGTCAAACCTTGCAGTAAACAAATAAGTGCTTTACTATTAGTAATTTACAATTTCCCGAACTGTCAATCCCTTGACACATACACACCTTAAAAATAATAAAATTCAGGGAGGAACAAAAAATTGGGAGAACATTATAAACTATTCCATTTTCATTATCTTTCACACTCTCACACATCCTTTGACATTCAAATGAAATCATTAGAAAGTACTATAACACGTGGAACAATCTTTTCCCACAGGAATTAACTGAAAGAAATACATACAGAGACTCTAGGTTTCCAGAAACCTTGATGTCCTTTTGAAACTACAAATCAGGATATCCAATGACACATCATAAAATTCATGAAGTCTTGTAAATACTTCAGTACGGCATGTAGTATGCAGCCCTTCCTCGATAACCTCTGTAGACAGAAAGAGAACACTTTTAGGATCCAATTCATCATATTCGTTTTTACCCAGTGAAAAGCACTTAAAATTCCTTTATTTAGTTAGTATCAAGCCAAACTTTAATACGAGATAGACTAATTTATTTATGAATTAATTTCCAACAAATATATCAATAAATTCATGTATTGCAAGTACCAAAGACACATTGCGAATGTGAGTAGGTTATGCAGATCCTTACCACTTTAAAGTCTTTTTACAGAATTTAAAATAAAAACAAGACGCCAAGAAATTTATAATTAAGAAGTTGAGTGTTCACGTTTGGAAGAAGAAAATTCAGGATATTCCCAATGTAATGATGAAACCTGTAAGGTTTCTAAAAGATATTAAAAAGTTGTACACTGTAACCTAATGACAATGAAACTAGGTTTAATGAATTAGAAAACATGAATTTATACAGTTTTCAGATTTGAAATAAATGGACCAAGTCCCTACCAAAGCAACCAAACTTACATTTTAAAACATTACAGAGTGACCAAAAATTTAGTTGTCTTTAAACGGTCAAAATCCTCAGTCCTGTCAAAAACGAATATCCGAAGAACACAACAAAAACCCTATTTACTGTTGTTGGAGAATTATATTAAACAAAGAAAGCTGACAACAGGAAGTTTAGGAACAGTCGTTAAATAATAATACCAAAAATAAGAGGTCGGTAAATCTACCCTGATTGTTCCTCTTCATAACTTTCTTTTACTAAGTTTTGAAAAATGTGAAATCTTGCAATACTTTCAATAAACAATGACATTGAAAATAAATTTTCACAGAGCTGTATTTTTGAACATTAAGAATTCCACACATAAAGGGAATGATAATTTATTAAATCCCATCTTGATCAGGTTTTTTGTCCAGCTTCCCTGGTTCTTTGAGCAAATGCTGAGATTGCCCCCTTGTTTTACTTCTGGACAATAAAAATAAATGTAACTTCACTCGCTGCTCCCAAGATGTATTTATATCATATTTGACTCGTCATACACAATTGTAATTGTATATGTGATTCAATAAATATTATTATTATTATTATTATTATTATTATTATTATTATTATTATTATTATTATTATTATTATTATTATTATTGTTGTTGTTATTATTATTAACTCACCTGAATGTTCTGTTCGAAATTACTGTGTAAAGACATCTAGTCTGCAAATTTTTTATCATTTATAGTTTGATTTAAAACTACTTGACTAGCATTGTTGAAGCGGTGAAATACTCTAAGAAAAAGTTGGGAGAGCAATCAGTAGAAGCTGCAATGAAACATCTCTTCTATCAGTAGTTTTTTATCAGACATGATTTCTCTGTCCAAACAAAATTAAACCTTTCTTTACGAATTTCATCGTTTTTACTTCATGTTACAACTGCATCCAGTGCCTGGCACACCTTGAATCAAACTTTGAAGGCGTTCAAAACGTTTTTACAAAACTTTCCCCACTTCGCCTCTGATGACAATGCTAATTCATCACGTCTAATATGGAAAAGAGCAGTGTTCTGAGAATTTTGACAATACTCCACATGGTTCAAACGAGGAGCTGCCCAGGAGCTGATGCGATCTTTCGGTGACGCTCCGAACTAACAGGAAGCAGCTGACAACCTATGTAAAGAAACTTTGTACGAAAGAAATGAGTATTTGGTCAACAGAGAAGAAATTCACGTGGCTTTGAGAAAAATTAAGACTACCTTTAAAGCGCAATGTTTGAATTGTATAATACTTTCCTCTGTTACGCCTTCCAAGAACATCAAAAATGCCCTATTAAAAAACAAGGTGCCAAATTTGAAGCAATTTGGCAGCCAATGTGCCATCAAGCATCTAATTTTGGTACTTGCAAATGCATAATTATTATTTTGCTATTTTTAATTTTCGAAGGTTACATTCAGACACTTCTTCAAAGACTATAACCCTGTTTTAATTATATCGAATGTAAATTGAAGTTTCACATAGACACCATTTGTACTCCAACATAAATGATTAACCTTTCTTCTTTATCAAACATTGGCTGCATATAATTCATACAATAAATTACATCAAAAGAGAATCTCCTTACTCATACTCTTCCACACTCACTTCACACTCAATACCAATACTCTTCTGGCACAAGTATCTACAATAAACACCATTTGCTTCATGTACTTACAATGGTTATAAATATTGGGTTTATCCCAATTTGCAGGCAAAAAGAAAATATGCTTTTATCATGCACAATAAATTTCATGAATATTCAATTGTATAAACAGCAAGATGATACACCATAACTTTGGTTCCATCAAACTGAACAAAATTTTTGAATTACTTGCAGAACCGGAGGTCATATTTCATCCCATGGTTTCTCAGTTTCTTCCAACACCATCCAACTATAATATAAGTCAGTCATTACCAATGGTGACAACTGCCACCACATATTTAAAAATTGTCTACTGCAGCTACCAGGCTTCCAGATTGAACTGAGAAACCCATACTTTCAAAAAAAAAACTAGCAAAGCAGTTACAACATAAATAATCATATGACAGAATAAGCATTTGAAGGTTCTTCTACAAAAAATTATTGCATTGGAGTCTATTGTATTAATAAAAAATTACTGAATCTTAAGCTTCTTAATCGTTCTTTTAATAAAAAACCTTTCACATTTACCTCTTCAAAATGTGACTGTTTCTTTTGCTTTCACTTATAATTTGTTTTCAGAATGCTCTCATTTTTACAAATACTTTGTGGAGAGAAATTAAAAATAATAGGAAAACAACCATGTTAAAAGAATTAAGATGAAGGATATTTATGAACAACAAAGCAAATACAAAGGAAGAGAAAGAAACGTGAATTTAAGAAAGAAAGATAAGAAAACAAGTGTGGAGACTTCTATTGTAAAAGAATTGGATACAGTGAAGTCAGAAAATGAGCTAGTTATAAAACAGTTTTGATTCTTATCGTAAGTATTCACTAAAATGAAAAATGTAATATAGGTGCTTACATTAATGACAGTTTCCAAAAAGAGGATTATATTAAAAACTGCAAATTGCAAAGATATTCCGTAATACCAGAATCTGATTGTTTTATTAATTCTGTTCTTTCCATTTTCTGAGAAGTATAATCTTAAAAAAATGTATTCTTAATGCTAAGCATGTAATCCATTCCTTGTATAAGAATGGAAACAACTTAAAACAAAGTCTGCAACAAAAAATTAAATATAACCTTCACTACGGTTATAAATACCGCCTCCAACTTTCAACAATTCAGAGATGTAAATGCAGCTACCATAATCATATTGACAATTTTGACAATTCAACTAGGAGAAAAGGGTGTACCCAAATTATCCAGAAGCCAACTTCACTTAGGCCAACAACCAGCAAGGGTGAAGAAGTGGTAGAACTAGAACTTATGGTGGTTCTAATAGTCATTGAAGCAGCAGAAACAACAATAGTAACAGGACAAGCAGTGACTGTCAAACTGTCAAGAAGCGACAGTGGTAGTAGAAGCATCAAAATAATACATTTGTAATTTTTTACGCATGCACAAACTTTTGGAAATATTAATAAACTTGATATAAAATTTAATTTTTGTGAATAGAAAAAATGAAGTAATGAAGTTAGTTACCAAACATTGAATACAGAAACAATCATGTAAACAAAAAATTCACCACTGAATACTAAATATATATTGTACCATTTTTCATTGTGCTAATCAGATGGGCCTCGAAGACAATATTGCTGAGCTTCAGTGCCTTTGTCAGGTGCACAAGATCTTTCTTGGAGATTGTAAAGAAAATACCAGATTTCAGTTCTATACTTTTGATATCGGGTGTCAAATTCATGGCAGAAGCGCTCAGCTGATATGATTATCTTTATGCTCTTTACTTATTCACTTATTTATTTATTCGTAATTGGTAGCAACTAGTGTAGATTACATTGCTGGAAGAGCTGCTGCTATTGTGTGTTGCTAAGACATCATTGTCAGTGTCAACCACAATCAACTTTACACTCAAATTAGTTTGGTACAGCATATAGGTGTTGACATTTTATTGTAGATCGGAACACTTATCAATGCTGGTGTCGATCTGAATTAACTAATAAATATTTTATAATTGAATATACAATGGACTTCAGTTATATACAACTCTTGTATTGTAAACCCTAGGTTATAGTGAACTGGTCTTGTTTGTTGGTAGCTCATATTTGCCGGTCTCGTTACTTGTGCATTACAAATAAGCATAAGAAGATGCGGTTAGAGTGAACCTGAACCTTGGCAATAGTGAAAGTAGGAGATACATCCTGGAAATTAATTCCCTAGTGGAAAATAATATATTGCCTCAGTGCCACAGATTCCAACCTGGGCAGAGAGAAAAAATATTGTCAGCAAAAGGTCATAATAGAAGAAATCTCTCCTGAGGTGTTCCAGAATGGGGGCCTTACTGATGACCTTAAACCACTCAGTTTCACTGTGAAAACAAACACTGACCTTGAGCCACAACATAATTGCTTGCTTCAGTTTCAAGCTTGGAGGTTACTTAATCCAAGGGACACCTTCAGATAATGGGATGGAGTTCCAACGGTGCAAAAGGCATTGAAAGGAGTCAAATCTGTATTACACTTCTTAGAGAAGAAGATAATTAAAAGCAAGTATAGAGAGAGAACTGACTCCGGAGAAGGATGTACAGAAATTACTAACAAAAAATGAACAAAGCAAACAATTGAAAATAATTGATTTTTTTAAAGGACAAACAAAGATATTGAAATTTTCAGTTTGTGCTGTTAATGTATTTTGGTGTATCTCATTGTAAATAAAATCAATCATTGTGGAGAAATTCTATTTTATTTAATTTTCACATCATTGGATATGGTAAATCTCAAATATTATTCCATACACGTTCACATTAACCAGAGTCGACTGTACTTTATACAGAACAAGCTGAAGTTACCAGCATTGCCTGCATATTTATTGATTACAATCTAAAAAAGAAATGAAAGAATTATTCTTAATGTTCCTGATTGACTGAAGTGTCAAATGGAAGTAATTTCATACACAAACCCCTCCCTCTTCACTCACTGTCCTTTCCTGATATTCCATGCTTTGCACTGCCATGTATACAGACCTATCAAGCTACTTCAATTTCAGCTTCAGTAAAATGAAACACCTTAAATGCAAGTGAAAATCCCATGGATACTTCAACAATAAATTCATATTCACAAATAACAGTAAGGATTGCCAAAACAGGATTGAGAAACACATTCTTTGAGAAGAGACAATGATCCAAGAGGTTTACAGTTTATGACATTTTAGAAAATGACTTTTTGGGTCATCTTTATGATATAGCAGTGATAGCCTAGCCTAGCCTAGTGAAGTAGTTGGTAGTTCTAATGTTCATATGGTTGCGTAGGCTAAGTTATATCTACAGGAATGTAAAAGATTAAATTAGTATAGAGCGTTGTATGCTTATAAATTTGACCATCACAATAGTGCAGCCAAACACTACATAAAAGTAAAGCAAAACCTTTTACACATTTACTACCAACAAAGAAATTGCTTCGAACACTCTAAAAACATGTTAAAATTGTTTGCCTCCTATATACAGGCAGAAGTTTCATTCACATAACACATCTTGCAACTCGATACTTCAAATACACGTTCTCATACTCAGCAAAGGTATCTGAGGTAACTAACCACAAGTAATTTTTTCATCAATTATTTTGCAATATTTTGATATTTGGAAATGTTTTCAAATTCACAGATATGAGAAAGTATTTTTTTAAAAATATTTTCACGTATCATTACACCTCTTGCATAAGGACAGCGACCCTTCCAAACAACCCTATTACTAAAAGAAATTTATAGATGAAATAAAATGCCAATTACCGTGCTCTTCGTGGTCTGTAGCCATAATAAGCTGAGCCTCTGATTCCTCGACTGCCACGATATCCTCTCCCTCTTGGTGGACGGTTCGTCATGCTCATACCAGGGCGGTTGGTTCGTTTTGGCATCACCTGTTCACAGTCAACTCGCATAATATATTCAAAATACCATAAATATTTGTGAGCAATGCCCAAACATTTTCTAGTACTGACATTGCAAAAAATAAAATTAGGATTTTATGCAAGTACAATAAAATTATCCAGATGCAAGAAAAGCCAACATAATTTAACCAACATAATTTAAAATATATATTTTCACTACTAAAATTAAGAAGGATTTTCATTTATAAGTTTGCCTACAATCCTTTTAAAATGGGGCTGTAAAGGGAATTAATAAAAAAATATCAATGGACAGATTTTAAAACCTTGCCAGTCCAAGGTCTCTGAAAAATTGTAATTAGAGAAGACCAGATTGCCTAACATGTCTTAAAATTTGCAAATTGCAATTATCACAAATAAGAGCCAAACTATTTTTAAAACTACTAAAGAGAACAATTTTTTTATGTTTTAAGTTACATACGCTCCTGTAAAATAACTCAAAATAGATGTGATGTTTCAAAATCTAATTTTGAACATGTAGCTTAAGTGCTCTCCAATATCAACATTCACTCCAAAGACTGAACATATTTTTTGAACGATCTAACTATAATAAAATGCTAAGACTACCTTCTATTGTTACTTTTAAGTTTCCAAGATTACCTTTCACAAGCTACCCTGCCATTTAATAAATTTCACTAGCAATTTCCATGGTTAATTGTAAAGAATATGGATATTATACGTGTTCTCACCTTAATCTGCCTCCCTCTAAATAATGATTCATCCATTGCCATTGCAGTTTGAACAGATTCCCTTTCTGCAAATTCTATGTAAGCAAAGCCCTTAGGATGACCGTCATATTTATTACATAAAATAGTAACACGATTGATTGACCCACAGCCATGAAAATGTTGTTCTAATTCTTCTGCTGTAGCACCATAATCAACCTACAAAATAATCAACAATTAAAATTTGTAACAACACAAAACACTCGCTAAAAAAATATAAAAAGCACACTTACATTGCCAACATATATAGACCTGTTATCTACTTCCATTTTCTCTTCTAGTGACATGTTTAAGGGGCTTGCTGCAAAATACATTTTTCTCTGTATTACAAATTGATTCAAAAATTCAAAGAAAGAAGAGACAAAACTACAGAAGAAGAGCTAATTAGATGCTGAACCATCTTGCATGCCTTCTTCACTATATCCATCACTTACTCATGCCAGGAGGACTACCCAAATTCATCTGCTTATCAACTTCAGACTGTAACTGCTTTAGTTTCTCTGCTTCTTCCTCCATTTCTCTGACTCTTGCTTTAATTGCTTCCAATTCCTCAAAAAACAGAAATACTTTATCACACCAAAACGGAATGTTTTACTTAAGATCATAATCACATCCAAGCAGGTTCACGCATTGATTTTTAAATTTCACATTCAACTATCAACCAGAAAATGGAGCAGTATATACTTCTACAAATGAAGCTAGATTAGTTACTACGAACTTCAGGAGCCCGGAATCCCCCCCCCCAAAAAAAACCAATTCAAAATTGCACGTGGCCAGGTATTGCAAATCTTGTCACCTCTTCCCCATTCTCTCACCCCAAGTTGCCTAATTCTTTCACACATTACAAAAATTGTAAATTAACAGCTTTTTATTTACCAGATTCTAAAATAATTAGTGGTTACAAAAAACATGCAATTTTCATCCAGGAGTTACCAACACCTTCCTTTCCAACATTCACTAACTATTGCTCAAATTTCTTCAAAATCCTATAACATACAAGAACAATAAGACAAAGATATGGAATATTAAAAGAGGAATCCAGAAATAAAGACTTTTGTTCCATAACGGACCGAAGCAGACACAAACAAAATATCTATTCCTTTTGTATCAGCACATTACACTGCATCCTTTGTCAAAACATTAATATGTTCAACAGACTTTTTAACAATTCAATTTCTTAGTCCATATCTTGCACAAAATATTTATCATAAAATACACTTCTCATTCAATTCAAAAACAAACCTTGCCAGCAAGATCTTTTTATGATCTTCAAGAAGACATGATAACCCCCCC